GGTTACCGACGATTTTCTGGGGCACTATTTCATTTAAGGAGCTGAGGATACCGAAATCGGTAAGGAGAGCTATGTACAATTAGTTTGGTAGATTAATATGTTCTCGTCCTCTATTTATCCTAGTAAATAAATGAAATAAAAACAATTTTACTTCTACAATTTCAAAACAAAACAACTAAATAAAACCAATTAAAATAACTTCAAAAGATATTGCCAAAACATAAATAAAACTCGCAAATCAGAGAAACAAAAAAGTTGTGTCATTAATAATGTGTTTGGTGTAATTTTCTTCGGTTTAGTAATCAGCTCAATTTTGTATAGTATAATTATTAAATATTTTGTAAATGTAACTAATTAATTTTAATGATTTGAAATGCATTTCATAACTCTTAATTCTAAGAACTCCGTTCCTGGTGTTCGAAAAAACTGCGAATATTATTTTTATTAATGTATAATATTTTTGAATTACTTTATTTTTTCAATGTTTCAGTTTCTAAATTAAATTTCAAATTAAGTTATAAATTTTGTTATATCTTACGTACTTTATCATTGTCATATTGCTGATCTCATTCTTCGCTGAAAGTGTTTTTTAACATCGTGAATCCAAATTCATTCATTCTTACAGTACGCAATTTGCTCAAATGAATAGATTAGTCTTAAGTATTTTAGTTAGTATTAGTGCCTACGTTTTTTTCAACACGTGTTTTTACATCGTCATTACGTACTCGCTCATTAATGAAATTTACAATTACGAGAGTAATGTTGATATGTATTGGTAATTTTGGCACATTAAAGAATTCATATTCGTGTTATATTGTATTAATTGCTTTTCATTTTTAATAAATGATTGATGTTTTGTTTATTTCATACGTATTTCAGTCATACTAATAAAACAAACACAAAATGAGAACAAATGTTATGTAACCTTACTTACCAGCTTTTTCGTACATAAATTAATCTGCACTATAATGTGTGTGGTATCTTTTTTATGTTTCAATCAATGTGGTAAAATCTTTAATACATACCTCGGCAAATATGAAAGGAAACTTCACTTAAGTAGCCTACGTGAGTATTCCATGTGTTAATGTTTGCTACAATTTAAATATTCTGGATGGGGAGCTGTGAAAACTAGGCATTTTCAGAATAATATCGTTAACCAAAATCTTTTAAGCTTTACATAAAATGTATGACAATATGAAAAAGAATGTTTAGCTAAGGTGTAAATCGTATTTGTTATTTTTCCATTTGCCCTTTTATATTATTTATTTTAATGTTAGTAAACATTGAGCTGAAAGATGGTCTCGAGTATATTCCTTCAGCGCCTGGATTATATGTATTCTTCAATCAGTGCAAACAGAGCGAGACGTATGGTGAATTTTTAATCTGTATTTTTTCTGACCCTCGCCGTAAAACGCACATATTGCCATGCTTCGCTGAAAACACACTGAAAGTAGAGAAGTCTTATTGAAACATCGGGCAGGCTGCAAAATCCCGCCTCCGGGTGGCAATCAGGGCCCGAGGGCAGCTCAATGAACTGGATCCGAACGTTCGGACGGAAAATTCCAGAAGCAGTTGCAGCTTTCCTCCACAAACAACATTTGTGTTCTCAACTCTTCTGCATTTAGAATCCACTCTGCTGATAACGGTACAGCAGCCGCGCTTTGTTTCCCCATTTACTTACTGTTTTTCCTTATTGCTTTGGTTGTGGACTTGATTGATCGAAATGTACTCTGTGCACTTCCATAAATCGAAAGTGTGTTTGTGGATGAGCCGCTCCCTCTTTGTGTTCGACATCCTGTTGGAAAGAGAAATACTGCGGGGAACTGCTCAACGCGGATGAATTTTGGGGAGGTTTTTCCCACGTTCTAATAATACAATGGTACTACGTTAGACTTCATATATTTATGAATCTACTCCGTTTCCAGCATCTAAATTAGCACTGAACATTAAAAATTATGTTTTAATAAAATCTTGGAATATAAAATTATATTAGGAAGGTAGTGAATTTGTCGACGGGTTAGAGGTATCATGATAAACGATTGAACTTAAAAACATCAGGTGATATTGAACATATTTATTTTTTACAAAACTGTTTACACTTTATTTCTGAAGGAGTATTCTTCGTTTTTTACATAATAACACTCAATGTACACACATGAACATATTTTTACGAATAGTCGCAATAAATTAACGACAGCCATTTACATAAATTAAAGCATAATATAAACGTTTTGTAGACAGCAAGTTTCTTGCCGTTTTTAGCACGAATCGAGTGATGCTACATGGCACAATGGACCGTGAAGATGAGGAAAATTAGGTGTCTGTTTTGCTTCTGAGACGCTTAAATACTACCTCAAATGCAGACAAAAACCTATTTATGGAAGAGAAAGCCGAGTTTTAAACACGTTTCTGTTTAAGTAGTAAACGAAGAACAAGGAAGATATAACTAATTACGGAGTTTAGAGAAGTATTAGCGTAATAGGTCGGTTGAAATTCAAATTTCAGCGTAGCGTAATGACAACTTTGGTGCCGTTTAAACAGAAACGAATTTTAAATACATTTCCCATGACGTCCCATTCAGGTCGTGCAACGAGGAATTAGATAAGTCTCCCTTTTTCAGCGCCTGTACTTTGTAATTATTTTCATTTGAATAAATAATGCGCGTTAACTGAAGATAATTAATATAATTGAGGGGAAAATGAATTTTAAATATTACCCCAACCGCTAAACGGGTAAGGTAATGCTATGCTCCAAGGGTTGCGACGCATAAAAGCATTATGTAAACAGGCTGCAATTTCCTATTTCGAGGCAGGGAGTACTTTGCCTTCTCGCAGATCTCGTCAGGAGATTAGCTCCCGTGAATCTTCATTTTTCACTGCGACTACGCGCCGGTAAAGAATCGTTCTTTGCCTTCGACCCGCGATGTCTGCACTTTCGGGCGGTTCTCCTCTGATTGACGTTTCACACTTTAAACGCAACGTGTGATTGCCATGATTATATTTTTTCTTGACATAGCATGTCTTCGCTGTCGAAAAGAAAGTAGCACATCTGCATTTGCATTATAGTAAATAGAGGAAATCTAAAAACTATACAAGATATTGCTTTAAAAAAACAATTCAAAAGTTAATCACCTGAAACCATTTTTCTTCTTAATAAAGGCATCTTTAACATGTTGAAGATGTGAAGATGCAATGTTACATGTAGCAATTAGAATATTCGGATGTTTAAAAAGAATAATTTAACTATATTGTTGCAAAATGTTAATCAATGGAGATCCGCCTTAGCATGAATGTTTGTGCCGATTTTGTGAGGCAATTTTTTCCTGATACTAGCGGAATTACGCTCGAGAAGAATTTACTTGCTACCAACAATCACGACAGTTGAAATTTGTTATAATAGCGTAAATTTTACCTAAGCTATTTTGTAAGACGATATTTACAATTTTATAAAGATCGATGCCATATTATTATTTATGTACAATTCTTTTTTTTTCTAATGGGCATTCCAACAAGACTGTTTCGGATACACTTGTTGAAGGAACAAAGTTCCTACTCGCGTTTGCACAGTTATTAAACACACTGTTTTGCGAGTAATCATTATAGTGAAACACCTCGTTTTAATACTGAAGTAAGAGGAATACTGAAGAAAAGTTGCCGTATGGTAAGTCTATCAAAGTGCAGGGTGTTTTCTTTCAGTGCAGTTCTGAAATTCAAAAAATGATAGTTGCTCTTTATCATTATAAATTTCTTACTTGCAGTGAGATATATAAGATACAAGACAGTACCATTTTAGTGAAATGGTTTTAACGATTACACTTGTACGAAAAAGGTTCAAGCAGCCATCATTTTTTGAATTTCTGTACATGAGGACATTTACTCTTCCGTCTATCTCACTGTCTTCCTCTTCACAACTATGGCACTCAAACGAGGTACAGTTAACGATGTTCGCGTCACGTTGAACGTGTTAATATATTAGTCTCCACATTACACAATTTCACTCTCCTTCGCTCTACGATCAACCACTTGAAAAGTTCCAGGAGAGCGAAAATACATATCTTATAGATAGAAAATATGTGGTCACTTTGGTATTCTAGCGCCACTCCGTTAGGACGTAATGGCTGGCGGTCAGTCGTCAGTTTCACAGGCTTTTCATACCGTGCACATCATGTGAGCAGTCAGAAATTAGATTTTTTGCGCATCTCATAAAAAACTCACAAAACTAGTTTTAAGTTCTTTTGAAGAATTTGTTTACATGGAGCCAGGTTACCAGATTGCTCTAGAACTTACAAGATAGGTACTTGTGTAAGCAAGAGGACTCAAGAGAACAGATGTAACGTAGTCCAATATTGCTACTTAAGCAAAATTACCAGCATGTTGAGTTGCCAATAAGCTTATGCTCAAAATTTACAATCATTGTAAGTTCACAAGTTTTGGTAAACTCACTTATAAAAATACCTTTACACAATATAAACCAGCTTATTTCAGCGTACCATTTAGTATTATTGAAGAATTTACTATGAATACACACAATTGTTAATATTTAGATCTTGTAGGTAACTTAGTTGTTCCAAAGTATATAGCATATTTTTCCAATGAAGATAAGACAATGAAATTTACTATAATCATCACAAAAATTGTATTTTTGAATGACAGTAAAACATTAACAAGTTCTGATTAAATCATGAACTTGATATTAAACTGCAAAACATAACATGTATTTCGATGCGTCATTGCTTCTGCACCCTTTACTGATTCCGATCGGTACAAAACCTGTACTGACGTTGATTTCTGACCCCGCTCGCACCTCTATTCGTGGAAGGAGGAACTGACCCATGGAACTGCCGCTGAGAGCGTCCAGTGCCGCAGAAAGGTGTCACAAGAGCTTTGAGTTCAACCACACACGCGCACTTCACTTGCCCAGGCGCAAACTGCAAGAATGTTCGAAATCCACTGGGCGCAAGAATCACTTGAAAACAGCGTTCATTTCGCACGACCAAGCGTATGTCTCTGGTTCAACCTGATGTACGGACGCTGGACCTGCACCTCGGGGTCGAACTGCGTTGGTCGGAAGCGGTCCACGGACGCGTTGAGGGCGCCACCCTCCGGAGACTCCAACGCGCGAACAAGCGCGCAACCAGCCGTCTGGCACCTCGCCTCCAGGAGGCGGTGGACGCGCGCGGGTGCGCGCCTCGAGTGCGACACCCTCACGCGACCGCGGCCCCGCCCCCGGCCCACGGGCCGCGGCCTCAGGTCTCGGATCCCGAGCTGCACGAGTCGACGTCGCGGCAGGTCGGCGCGTAAGGCGGCGCGTCCGACGGCGTCGCGGTCGGCGGGCGCGGGCGCGGGCCGTGGGGCGGGTCCGGGCGCGGGCGGCTGCGCGCGCGGCGCGCCCGGGCGAGCCGCTGCGGCTGCGTGGGGGGGGGCGGCGCCTGCGACGAGGGCGGCGGCCCGCCGCCCCGCCGCCGTTGGGCTGCGTCTCCTGCTTCCACTTGTTGACGTGGTGCGAGTTCTTTGTTGGAGGTGGCCGCCTTGCTGCTGCGCACTTGGCCTCCTCCTCCTGCTGCAATCGCGCTTGTGCTTCGTGCGCCGGGTTCTGAACACACCTTTCTACCTGGGGGCCAAAACATAGCATCGGTTACAAGGGTTCGCTTACCTTTTCCCTATCTAATATTAGTAAATCATCAGGGTCTCTGCTTAAAGTGGCAAGCAGCAGCTTCGCTAGCTATATAGTAAGAAACATTTCACAGCAGTAATTTACCAGTCTATTCATGATATCAATGGAATGTTGTGAAGTGGTCCAGTTGAAGTGGTATTGGCAGTTCTGTGAAAGTGTCTTTAAATCTACTGGAAGTGTAGGGCAAGAACTGTAGAGTATTGGTGGAATATGGCGGTGCGGTGTTCTCCAGTGTGAAATATTAAGTTATATATTAAGTGTTATTACCCAGTGGAGAACAACATTTGTATTCTTAGTTTATCTTGCAACCACTTCCGCCCAGTTGGATCCGATTGAAGGTAAATTGATATTAAGATTATCTTAGAATACTAATTTCTAATCAGTGGTGCACGAAAATTTGTTGGGTGTTTCTTATGAGATTTTTTAGAAACGAATTCATTGTAATATAAAATTTGAAATCAAAGTGCTTGTGGATTCCTTCATAAAGTTCAACATATTTCGGACCACAAATTACTAATACCCAATCTGTGAACAGCAGCAAATCTCTTACCTTCGACGCAAACGTATTACATTCGTCGGTACTATAGTCGACAGTACATCGGGGAAATACATTGGTTTAACAAAAGCTACATTAAGCTTAGCCAATGTACAGAGACGTAATTGCTGCAACGCAGCCGTCACTATTCGGCTGACGCAAATCCTCCCAAGATGTCAGTATAATGTATAGGCATCATATTGCGTCTTTCAGAAAGTCGCGCGCAAGATTGCTATTATCTTAACTCTGCGTGACAACTTTAAATTCTCAAGTAATTGAAAACTTTACATCAAACTCTATGAGAAAATTAAGTATTCACCTTTTAAAGACTAACAGTTATGTGAAGCGAAGTAAAAGGCCGAAATCTGTTAGCATCAAACTTTTCGATTAAATTTCAAATAATAGGTAGTAATAATTCTCTCAGACACATCATTAGTATCGTAATCATAAGATAAATAAGTATTTTTTCTAGAAAGTTATAACTGACATTTTCAACCTCTTGCAAAACGATTGCAGTCAGTTCTTCAATTGAAAATAGTTCACATCAGAAAACGTGGCATGCATATTACGTAATTCAAACGTCAAAACAATTTCTCTTGCTCAACAGCATTTCCCAACAACACTTTAAATGGTTACTTAGCTTCGAGGGTAGCAAAAATAAATTCGGATTTCAGCCTCCAGCCATCCAATAGGAGGGTGCTACGGAATATAAAGGGACTGGCTTCGGACGCCAGATGCGTCACAGAAGCGTGGTTGCCAATGTGTCTACGGCGTGTTTCAGGTCTTTAACGCGGCAATAAATTGGTGCATAATGCGTGATGGGTGGTCTGAACATCTGAGAATAAACATATTTGCGTTGCTGGATGAATTTAATCACAAAGAAATAAAATCTTTCAGTCGAGTAGTATGGTAATGCAAATTGTGTCCTTTGGAGGAATATGAAGCGTCATTCATTCCACATTACTTTTAGTACTTGAATGGGAAATTAGATATATGCGGTGTTTTTTTTTAATGGATGGCAGAGAGGGCCACTGTGTCATTTTCCATGACAGTCTATGACCAGTTTTAATATTTCGAACTGTCTGTATGAGAAGAGCCATCCAGTTATTTTCATGACGCCACGCAAATAATCGAGAGCTCCCAATAGAAAATAAATCTGGGCAGTCAATTTGTTCGAATGTACGTAGGGTCCTTATTTTCTTGGGTTACCTTCAACATGGAAGTGTCTTCTGCGTAAACATAACCCAGAAAACCGAGAACATACACTAAACTCGATAAGTTTATTCTGCAACTTTAAACATTTGTACAACGTCCCTTCAGCAATTTCTGCCGATCCATGAAGAAATGCTGAAAATGTCATCGTTGCTGTTATTTTTTTATGTAGTATTTCCTCGTCGCTCCGAAACAATTACTGTTCTCAAGTGTTGATGTGTTTACGCAAATGAACAATATTTACTTAAGATATATGTCATTCCAGTGGTCTCTCCTATGGATCGCATGGGCGAGCGGGGTACAGACCAGCAAATTTCTGAAGAGGATGGTCTATGAGAAACGCCGCTGGTTTATGGAGCAACTGCCATGGAACATGACACTGGTATTTCAAATACTCGCCAGACCGCGGGCACTGCCGCACTGTGTCCCCAAGCGGTTCTGATGAACAGGATGGATTTTGACCGTAGAACACGAAGGAATAGGAATTATTCGTCTGGACTGAGCTATTTAACATTGACAATACTAGAATAAACAGATTAATAATGAAAATTTCCTGGAATATTACCAATTTTAATGTCTCCAAAATATGACGTATCAAAAGTAAATGGAGGAAATTCCTTTTGCTCATTATGTCTCCTAAGCATAAACCCTAACTCATTAAATGCGAAAGGAAATGTGGAGATTCTTTATTACAAATCTTACGCGACTGGCCTCCCGACAAGTAGCGGAAGTTTTGTAGTGCGGGTAAGGGGTGGGGAAACAACAAGAAAGAGGAAGGAAATATCGGCGTGTGGAACGTCGTCCCGACTGTTCCAGCGTTCGCCTGGTGTGATTCAGAGAAACTCACGGAAAAATACCTGATCAGAGCAGCCGGCCGCTCGAATTAAATCCGCCAGACATCGGCTGAATGCGACCTCGCTACTAGTAATCTAAACCCCGTCCCCGGCCTGGAGTGGGAGCCTAGGAACATTCCGCGGTCCGGAGGCCCTGCAGCGACATCCAATTGATGGCCGAAGTCCTCTCGCCGGTCGTATTTCACGAGGAAGTCGAAGAGCTTCGATTTCCGGATGCGCGCCGCCCTCCGCCCACGCGCCCGACGCGGCTCCCGCCACCACTGACACACACACACACACACCCACAACAGCCCGAAGGAAAGCACTTCAACCACTCTGCGGCGAGTGGAAGCCAACGGCTCACGTTTTCAGTCTTGAGCGGCCGCACGCAACTTCATGCGGCATGTCCATAAGTTTTATTACGCGGTAAACGGATTTCCATATTTCATACGTTGTACCAATTTCTGCATCGAGATTGACTAATTTCTTTTTAACAATTTTTTTCATTCTCTACAAATTAAGTTGTAGTGCACAGTGACCATTACGTGGGAGCAGCCTTGAAAAATAATTGTGTTTTTGCGCGGGTTTACGGTTTTTATGCTTCAAACATGCACTTCACAAAAATGGCGATTTCTCTCAAACCGTTCACAACTTTCTATAAGTTATCGAATTTTCTTATTATACAACGTTGAGCGGATGAGTTGTATTAGTACTCATAAGCAATCGTGGTACATTCAAAGCATTCGCTTTATGAGTGCGTTGTTCGCTCCTCAAAAGTTGTCTCATTTGTTGTAATGAAAGACTGAATACACCCAAAGGAATACAATGAGTTATTTTCAGTTCTCGAAATAATCATCTTAGTAATGATGTAAGATTCAACATTTTTACAAAGCAACATCCATAAAAATACTATTTTTTACCCTTGTCATACAATAATGTTTCAGATTCAATTTCTAACATAAAAACGCGTTTCACTAAAACAACTGTTCACGTACGCGCCGAGGTCTGGCATTAGGTATGAAGTGGGCGATGATTTGGCGGTACGGGAAACCTAAGCAGCGATCATGGCCCTTTAAAGAAGCAATTGTAATATGCCAGAGTATAGTTAAATTCAAAAGCTTATTTCTTTTTACATTTCCTGCACATCTTGTTTTTTTGTTTTCGCAATTCTCACTATCCCTTTCTAATCTCCACGCTGAAGATTTGATTATTTCGTGCCGCTAGGTTCTTCTCTAGAAAGCGGCTGGATTGGACGCACGAACGTGAAGGCATTTTGAGATATGGTAAGAGAAATGATTATTACAATCATTAATTTATTTAATTTATACGCTAGTGCCAAAATTAAAATTAAACCCAGCCTAAAATTCGAATATAAAAACACACATATATATATATATATATATATATATATATATATATATATATATATATATATATATATATACACATAATTTGTAAATAAGAAATTAATATAATACAATGGTTTTCTCAATATAATAGGCATTTTTTAATATATTTTTTTAATGTTTTTCATCGGGACAGTTTTCGAAAAATTCTTGATTGTTACCAATAGAGGTTTTCAGTTTTGACATCGACAAAAGAAAGATATTAACACTTCTGTTTTATATTTCTTTTCCGTAATAAAATCTGTTTACGAAAAAATAAGTTTGATTACAACTAAAAAAGAAATCAAAACAAACTTTTCGACGACATATAAAAACAATAAAAAAATGTTACACCCAAAACAGAACACATCAAGTTTTATAATAAGTGCTCTAAGAATATGCACAACAAAGGCGAAAAAATGTTTTTTTTATTCGACCATAGAAACGTCCCAGAAGAACGGCCAAAATCGCTGCGCAAATTTTTAGGCGAGCGTCTTTTCTGAGAACGCGAGGGCGGCAGCGGCGGCCGGCGCGTGGCGGTGGCGCGGGTTGGGCCGCGGGCAGCGGTAGAGAGCGGGAGAGGGGAAGAGGGAGTCGGGAGTCTGCTTGCCGCCTCCGGACCCTCCCGCCGCTTCCCGCCGTTTAAGCAAAGCCATTAACCA